AGGGGCGGCACAGCCCGCGTTCTTGCCCTCGCGGTTTGTGGGGAGCAGCACGGGATGCCGCCAGCGTGGGGACAGGCGCCACTGGTGCCTGCGAGCGGAGCCCCGACACGCACCGCTGGGGTCCGGACCTGCGTGCCGCCAGTGCCGGCGAGGGAGGGGGCTGATGAGCGTAGTGCCAACGGCTGAGACTTGCGTTAAACGACAATTAACAAATTGACGACCAGCAATAAGGCGCTCGGGGTTGACCAAAAGCTCGGTCTGACTTGGAGCAGCGTGCTCTGTTTTGAATCAGGAAATATTTAAGGTATTTTCATCCTTGATGGAAATTTGTAAGCGAGACGTTCCCTGAATTTAGAAAAGCAATCAAACCATTTTCCTGAGAAGCTGCAGGATGGAATGAGAGTGTTTAGCCTTTGTCAAGGGCTCTCTGCAATCTGCTTTTTAGACAAATAATTTGGAAAATGGAATTTGTCATATGCTGTGCTACCAATGAACCACTTCGATGACGTTTCTTCCAAACACAGAGTTTTTCACCTCTCGGAATCACAAAGGACCGGGCTCCCATTGACCACTGCTGTCCCTGAGCACTTAGCCTTGGTCTGCAGCAGGCTCTGCCCAAGGAAACACTCCCTAGGGATCACCATGCATGACAGAGCACATCACGCCATGAGAAAACCCAGAACGACAAGAAGCAGTACATACCTGCAGATAGGTATTGCAGGCACCAGCTGCTTTGTCCAGGATGGAGGTACCAACAAGATTGATTCTGGGGCTGAGTTTCTCCTGTCCTCCTGCTCGCAAGGCCCGTGGAAGTCAACAGTCTGAAAGACGTGACACGGAATGCTGTTTTTGTGGGAAGGCATTGATGAAGGATCAGGGCTGGTTTTCCAAATTTTCGTGGGAACACCACAGGAAGGATCCGTAGGAAGGCTGTTCATAGCATCCATGGAAAGAGAAGCACTGGGCAACTGCGTGTAAGTAACTGAAGAGTTGTCTTCTCTCAAGGGGATGCGAGGAGAGGATTGTGGAGAGGGGGTCCTTGACTGTCGTGGAGAAGTGGAAGGCAGCTGAGTACTGTAGAGCTCAGTGCAAGAGTACCTCCGTTTTGCACCTGGTGATGAAGACCTTGAGTTGGGACAGGGTGATGGTGAATGTCGTCCCAAGCAGGTTTCCTCCGTGATGCTTGTTCGTGGTGACATTATTGGAGAGGTTCTAGGAGAATAATGAGTATGGATGTTTTGAAACTGTGGACAAAGGTCATCACTAGGACCATTATTTGGTGAAACACATGGTGATGTGCAAGGAGATACATTTGTCTCTGAAATGAAACTTGCAGAGGAGCCGCTACTAGCTGGGCTCAGACACAGTGGTTCTCTGTAGCCCTCAAAGCCAGGGACAGGCAGGGTAACCCTTGGGCTAGTGGTAGCTGAGTTTGACTGATGTTCTACCAAAAGAACATCTGTGTCTCTGCTGCGGAAGGGACCCCCTGAATGAATCAGTTCATTATATGGAGTAATTTCAATCCTAGGGCTCGGAGCAGAGGCCCCTGCAGCGTTGGCAGGGTGCGTAGGTGTTGTCCCTATGCTATCTGGCTGTCCATATCTGCCCATGGGATCTGCAGAAAGGCTAGAAAAAGGCAGGGGGCATGGCTTGAGGCCACAGTCCAAGACATCATGAGCGTATGTAACTCCAGAGGGTGGGCTGTTGGTTTTATGTGGAGTCGGTTCTTCTGGAAAAAGAAGGGTCTCTTTAAGACTATAATATTATTACAGAAGCTGAGCAATCATGGATTAAAAAAAATGCATATTTATAAACTGCTTGTGATCTGATATTAGGTAAATATTTGGTTAATTCTTTTTAACTGCAAGTAATGCTTGTGAGAAGTACTGGATTAACAGCCAGGGAAGCTCAAGCGCTCCGAGCAGAGGACAGCAGCACTGCAGACCCCTCCGGCCCCGAGCTGGAGGGATCTCCTGGCAGGGCCGGCGCCACGGCAGCTCTGCCCGTGTCACTGCCGGCTGCCTACGCTTTCTGCCAGACACCCCCCTTAGCGCCAATCGGGACGTCGTGACTGTGGTCGGCTTTGGTCAGCTAGGAGCTGGACTGAGACCATCACGTCACAAAACCGCTCCCAAACAGGTCTCGGAAAACCAAAAGGTTGAGGAACAGCTTTTGGTGAAGGGAGAAAAACCTTCCTTACAGAGCAAAGTCCGGCCAGAAAAGGCTTCATCAAACCAAAGCTGAGCTCAAGCTCTTAAATTAAAAAGTCAGTTCTGTGTGATGATTTGTTTGGCTCCGTATCAACAGGTCTGGCTCACTCAACAAGTTTTGGTGACAGGTTTCACAGGAGAAAGCACCAGAGGATCAGAAAACACATTCACAAATATTTGACAGAAAAGAGAGAGAGAGACAGAAAGGGTCCAGCCCCACGCTTACAGGCAATCACTTTCCAATTTCAGCTCAAGGGACGTTTTGGCCAGAAAGGGATTATAAAATATACATTAACAGCTAAGTGTTCAGTGCACCTCTCTCCTGGTGCAAAAAACCCTCAATTTTCAGAAATTCTCAGTCTCGCAGACTATCCCCAGGTTGCAGAGTACAGGGATGCTTCCAGGCAACACAGAATTCCCACCAGCATCACTACGCCCAGCTCTGACCTCGTCCCGGCACCCCACCGGCGGCATCCGCGAGAGCAGAGTCATGCCGGGTATCCCTGGGACAGACCCCTCGACGTACGTCAGCTCTGGGGGATTCCCCAGCCCGGGAGCAACTGAGGACTATTGGTCATTACACAAAAGCATGAGAAATACTCTCGGGATTTGTATATGTTTTTATAGATTTGGATGTATCCAGCAGGAAATACCTGAAACAGCTCCACTGTCTGAGGCTCATCCACACTACCTGCTCAGCCCCGGGCACGGATCACTATTCACAGGCGAAGCGGGTTTCATTCAAATTTTTAAATAACTGTTCCAGCATTTTCTCTTAACTCCTACTCTACATGAGGCAGCATCTCCCATGAGCAAATCTTATCGTACATAAAGCCAGGCAGGACCTGACTGCGCTTTCTGGCAAAAGATCAATGTGAAACTTCTGCACCCAGAGAGACTGTGATTTAATTTCAGGGGGGTTCTGTTCATTTTCAGTTTTAAATGCTTCTTTTTTGTGAAAGCAAAATCCTCCACTGATTTTTGACACTTTTTGCGCTCAATGCTTTGCACAACCCGGAGAAAACTCCACAGAAAGAAAAAATGTAGCAGGAACTGCTGAGCCTTCGTGTTTAGCGGGAAACGCCGACAGCCGACCAAACAAACCAACACACAGAATGTCTATGTGACGGGATGGGAGAGGCCAGCTTGCAGATTCCTTAAGGTTCCCTCTGGCTTTTAATCCCAGCACACAGCTGTTTCGGGGATGTCGAAAACAGCCACGAGTAACTGAATTTTCAGCCGAACATATCTTTAGCATCGTCAATCTCGATATCAGAGCTTTGGCATTCACAGGATTAGTGTGTCATCACTCCAACTCTGACGCATCAAACCTAGATATTGATGCTACGATTCACTCTGTCGCCACTCCTTCGGACTCAGCAGCACCCCCCGCCACAGTCCCCCCAAGCATCGCTCCCACCGCTTTCGGGAGCATCGCTCCCATTTACATTGATGCAAGGAGCAAAATCCGCACCGACAGAGCGAGGCTTGACGCCAGCACTCGGGGCAGGATCCGTCCAGTGACCAGCGACCGCAGAAAAGCTCTCCGGGCTGAACATCAAGGAACAGGCGACCTTTTCGGTTCCCCCCTACAGGGAGAGCTGCCCCCCACCGCACCCGTTAAACCACGCTGTGCAGATCCACAGACAACAGGTAAAGAATTACACCTCCTCACAACACACGTGGAGCAGCAAAGCTAGCGTCCGTAGATTTGTGCGGAGGGGTATGGGAAAAGCAAACATATTTGCACGTGCACGTGTAATTTTTAAAGTCTCCTGAATAACAAACACACACCACCACCCACGCTTTCCGCCCATGGAAAACTGGGCTTTAGATAACCTGAATTTTCTTTGTTTTTCCCTGAAATACTGTGTTTAAATGAGCACTTTCATCCTTGGCATTCACCCCCGAGAGGATCCACGTTCCAGATATTAATAACAATGTTTACGCACAACAACAAGCCGCAGCAAGCCCTTGCCTTCACCCAGCACGCTCGCCAAGCACTCCTCCGCAGCGCTTCACGGGCCGCGCAGAGCGGGACTGCTCACCCAGCGCTCGCCGGCAGCGAGCAGGCAGGCGCCCTTTGCCAAGCCGACAACACCCACAGCCTTCCGTAGAGCAAAAATATTTAGTTTCCCCCCACATGGCAAATTATCAATAAAGCAGGCAGCAGCACAGGAATGCGGGCAAGACTGCAGACAAGAAAAGCTCGGCTCGTTTGAAGAGCGCCGGGGGAAGCGCGCCGGGCAGGGATGCCCAGGGGCTGAGGCTGCGTCTGGGGCAGGGAGAGGCTGT